AAGACGTTATTATAAGTCATGAATTCCATGGTGACCTTGAAATACTCTCCCCGAAAAAGTGTATCCGTCTTCGCGGACGTATAGCTCAGAAACAAATAGTAAAGGATGGGCATCGGCATGGAGTGGTCGTTACCGTTCTGCAAGCACGCGCTTAGCTCGCAAATGATGCCCGCTCCAGTCAGCATGGTGGGCGCCTGGGACTGGCCAACGATGCACGCCCGTCGGACGTGACTGAAGATCACATTTGTGGACTGTGACTTAAAAGGGGGTGTCCCACCTTAACGTCATATTTCAAAAAAACATATTCAAGTAAAACTTCAGTTACGTCTAAGAATGGCATATCAAGATGTCAAAATTTAATCATTCTGGAGTCCAAATTACGCTGTCAACGATTTGTAACAGAAGTTCGCTTCTTCCTGCAGCCGCGACCACCGTCGTCATGACGACCACCGTGCGCACCTCTACTGGTGTAAATACAAGAACGCTTGTGATTGGTACAGCAAACAAAGGCCTGCTACCGAGAATGAGGTTGAACCAGTGCGTCACATAGATCATGCGATAGTCCCATTGCCAAAGCCAAAGTGCGCCCCGAAGAGAGCCGCTGTAGTAAACGCCCCTGGGGATAAATCAAAGCCATAGCGTGACGTTTCGTTGAATTTGCGGGATAACAGCTTTATGTCTGCACATATTTTTGTCTTAACAGAATGTTTTAAGTTTCCGTGCCATCTATTACACAAGCATTTTGACACATATGTATGTTGCAAACATTACAGAACACACCAGCAGAAAAACCGAGGCCAACGTAATGCATAAGTTTCCTAGTGATAAGCAGGGACTCAAGTGAGAATTCTTCCTTGGGGTCGGCTCCTTTAAATCGAAATTCTGAGCTATTCAGGAAGGGTTTGAGAAAGTCCCCACATTCCTCGTAAGGCTTATCAGCGCGTCCCTGCCGCTGGGAACACGATTGAATTACAACTCGGAATTTTCCTTCTTCGAGTTATGACAATAAATTACTCAACACCACGACCATCCATCCGCCGCCATTTATGACGCTGATCTGCCCCCCGTATATGGTTTTGCACATCCGCAGTAGACGCTGTCACCAAAGCCGGCCGATTTTCCAATCCAGTTACCACCTCGTTTTCCAGGAGGCACCTCAATCTACACAAGTGTCGCAAAGCAAAGCGAGAACAGGAGACCTGTATAAGATCACTGCGGGAAACAGCGGAGGAGAAGAGGAGCGTGAAGCTGGACTGGAGCAGGAAGGTGGATATGAAGTTCAGGCAGCATGCTGACAAGAAGCGGGCCGTCGCCCGCGTGGGGAAACTGAAGCGGCTGAACGTGATGAAGAAACTGAAGGCGTCTGGCGGCTTGTTCGCAGGCCCTGAAGAGGTGGCGGCGCCCTTGAAGGTCCTCGGCGCAAAGGAGAACAACAGCGGATGAATTGCGAATTGCAGTGCGCTAAGAATCAAGCAACACACTGCCCGAGGCGCACACAACTTTCAGACTGCAGGACATGATACCCAAAATAAAGAGGAAGGCAAGTGTTACTCAGTTCTATAAAAATGCTGCATGACTTGTGATGCAACAGAGTCAAAATATTGAACGAAAGTGATGTTACTGTTCCACGAGGCGAAGATGAGTGGGACAATGATGGGACAGCTCACGGATGGAGAGGCTCGCCGGCCTGGTAGACGACTCACCCGCCGGAAGGAGGGGGCTCACCCGCCGGAGGGATAGATCACCCGCCGGAGGGAGCGGTCTCGTCCGCCGGAGGGGGCGGCCCACCCACCAGAGGGGTAGACTCACCGCTCAGAAAGGGCGACTCTCTCGCCGGAGGGGGGGGGGGGGACTCATCGGTCGGGTGGGGCGACCCAGGCCGTCAGACGCGGACCAGCCGACGAGCCGTGCGGAAGAGCCGTGGCATTAGACCGTGCGCACCGCAGACACCCGCTGCACGCTCCAGGCGGAGGCGTCGACGTTGACTGTGATACGGACTTCTGCCAAGTCTGGCTGTCCCTACCCCGCGCCAACGTGGGGTAAGTGCACTGCGAGAGGATATGGCCGTTTCACAGTTACACCAACGTGACGCCACGTGTGTACGAGAGCACGATCAGTGGCAGTTCTTTTGGACAGTGCATTCCTACTACAGGTTGGCCGGTGCACCACACCCCATCTTTCAAATGGCAATACAATTTTTTGTCGTGGTTACCTTATGAGTTAAGCTTTCTGCGCAATTCTAAGCTGCATCAAAGGGTGAACTGGTCGCTCCTTCTCTCTTTGACCCTGTCAAAAGAGCAATGACAGAACTATCGCCTGGAGCATTGCTGGAGGTCACGACCGGCGTCTTCCACTGGTGATCCATATCAGCGCCAAACCATCATAATAAAACAAATGCATGCATTGTTTAACACCCACTTAACTGATGTAATGGTTCTCACTTCCTGATGAATATTTTTTCCCTTTGACATGAATACAGGGCCTAGCAAACAGGATGACAATGTAGATATTAATTTTTTAGCCCAGAATGTGGATAGGTATTTTCATTTTCTCTAGGAATTCAGTCAGTTGTTTTGGCTTTCCAAGATTGGGTATGGGATCAGATTTCCTCGTACCTAACCATAGCTTGCTGCGGAAACCCTGGCCTTGAATTTGATGTGAGCTGACATCAATGGTAGTCAAAGGAAGCTGACACGACCTGAGGGAGCAAGGAGTTAAATCAGACTGTTGGCATGGCGGTGTCAGCAGTCTGATTGTGAAATGGTGACAGATGCGCAGGCGCCGGCTACGCATTGGGACACGAGTTGGGGGAGGGGTTCAACGATGAGGTATTCTAAGGAGCTACTTTCTGTACCTGGGCGTTCGTTTGCATGCAACGACGTAGGTGTATCTTAAATTCCGCAAAAATAGGTGAGAACGTCCCTGTCGCCCTTTTTCTCTGTGGCACATTTTGGTCGGCGCTTGAAGAAAACATGATAAGGAATAGTGAGCAAGATACCAACCGTGTCGACCTGTAGTATCAGTCAGTCCGTCCATTATGACTAGTCATGTCCATTATGACTATGACTATCAGTCCATTATGACTATTGCAATAATACGTTTAAAGAATGTTTGGCGTCTTTGCTTTAACAATGTCTCCCAATAGACGGAAGGCTTATTATTTCCAGCATAAGAACTCGCAATGCTTAAGTCAGGCCTCATGCCCAGTATGCAGGCAGACCGGCTGCGCAGCTGACTCGTCGCTTGCCCAGTACGCGGGTAGACCGGCTGCGCAGCTGACCCTCGGCGCCTGCTCAGCAGGCCACCCTGATCGGGGACAGGGTTAGAAGCTCACTGGCGAGGACTCGGCCTGTGCAGCTGACCCTCGGCGCCTGCTCAGCAGGTCACCCTGATCGGGGTTAGAAGCTCACTGGCGCAGACTCGTCTGCGACCGACCCTCTTACCTGCCGTCCGCATACCAAAGCTGCGGGGATGGCTCTGAGGGACGACTGCCTCAGTCCACGCAAACAACACTCACTCTGGGGGATCGTACACGGGGTTATCGACCTCGGGTGCAGTCAGACCATCAGGGTCTTCTACGTTCGTGTGAGGCGCAGGGGTGCAGCTAGACGCTTGGTTAGGGGGGGGGGGGGCAGAAGGTTGACAAAGGGCACCTTGAGGGTAAAAGTCCCCTTAAAAATCATGTTTTCGCCCGTTTAATTTCGAAGGAGCACAATTTTCTTTCCTTTTACTGCATAATTTTTACCCTTTTAAGATGGAACGGGGGGGGGGGGTCAGAAAAGTTACGGGAAGATGCAGTTCTGTTTGTATTTTTAAGTCAATAAACTGAAGGAAGCGGGCATTAAACGCCTGCATGGTGTAAAAATCCGTTACATTGCAGTTAGCAATGGTTAAGGAGTCTCTTGCTAAACCAGAAACACTCAGGTGGTTCGTTAAAATATTTTCTGGATTAGGAAAAAATACTGAGGGCCCCGTGAACCATGACTTGGTGGAAATATGGTTAGACAATTTGTATCAGCCTGGAAAACCCGCGTTCGTGTGGTAATGTTCAAGCCTTGGTCAGAACTGCCAAGTTAAAAATGTGTGCCATGGCTTTCAACACGATCGCTCGAAGACTTGAAAATGGAATTGACAATAGAAAGACAGTCCCCAAATCTGAGACAATGCAGACGACTTAGGCCGCCAGAGACCACCAGCACCGAAAAGCTGGCTCCCTGTCAGTCCGAAGTTTGGGGTTCTATTTCCCAAGCAGAAGGGCGAAAGCTGGTGTTCTCCGCATTAATCTGCTACCATTAGTTCTTTCTGACCTAATGCCATTTTCCACGATGTTACTGACATAGGAAAAGGAGCAATGGTCGCAATGTTGCAGCCTGTGTTGTGCTGGTTTTTAGACAAATTGCACGACGATATTGCGGCCCCACTTTCTGTACCGGTGACGTGCATGCCGGTTATCCCCCCTCCATACTATCCACATTTCATTTAGGTTGGGGAATTGAGTCGTTAACCTTATTACTGTCTGCAGCAAGAAAATGGTGAATGGATTCGACCAATCGGAGCCATCAAAAGCTTACATGTTCGTAATGTTTGTGGCGTAATGTTTCTCAAATATCATTCTAGCTGACTGAAACCAGTTAAATGTGTCCCGGCAGGTGCCCGCTCCGAGAGGAGCGACAGAGGCATACAACCCCGCGGCGCCGGGACCGTCGTAAACAGCCTCACCGGAGTGGGCGGAGGAATTAGCTCCAGGGTTTGCGGTGCTCATGAGCGCTCGTCCAAAGGCTGATCTGGACTGGGGAAGACTGCAGACGCCTTCACGCGACGCTGGCACGGCTCCGGCAGTGCCGGTCGACATTTTATGCTGCACGGCTGCCTGCAAGGCCGGGGGGAAAACGCCGTGTGCATCGACGTTCAGCCAATGGCAACGTTGCGTCGCCACTCTGCCAACCTTCGTGGCCGGGCCCGTGCATCCGCTGGTCGGCCGGCCAGCATGGCCAGGACTGCGGAGCGCGGCTTACGTGCAGCAGATGGCCGAAGAGCGGCTGCACCTCACAACCTCACTGAGGCTGTGGCACTGCGAGTCGTGCCCTTGGGCGATAGGACGATAAGCAGTGACACAGACACACCGTGACCTCTCCCCTAATGGCGAGCATCTTGTACGGGTTTGGTTTCTGATGCTGTTTTTGTCATGATCGTTGCGGGATATAGGAAGGCTAGGTTTTCTAGGAATGAAAATAAATCACAGGCGTTATGAGATACGCTGGCTTATATCGAAAAATGACAGTACAGCTGGGCTTATTCAAGAGCTGATTTGATAACGTGACAACGTCGTGATTTGTTACAACAGTCATCGTGACAAATCACGATGACTTGCGTGACGTCGCTTGCTCCGCGCGCGTTTATGTGTGTCTCTCGCTCTGCTTTCCCGCTCCTTCTGCACGAGGCCAAACCTTGAACGACTTCGAGCACGCCCACACACGAGCTAGACTTGACGAGTCTTTCATCGCCTCGCAGCGTCTCCGCAGAACAAAATCATGTCCGAGTGTTCAACTGACGAGGAGTGTGCTGATCTGCTTCTTCCGCGCTTTTCTAGCGCTAGATACCGATCTCTGTCCAATCCGTTGAATACAGTACTGATGGGCCACGAACCAAGTGGCTACCCTGTACCTCTTTGGAGGTAATTGAGAGGTGGCTATGGGATGCGGATCCTCTGAGCAAAAGGTAGAGTGCGTAGCGGGAGCCATTGGTGGTGGGAGCTGAGGCTGAGCCCGTTACTTGCTAAAGTGTGCTTATTTTCCATGAGGGATCACTGCAAAGAAATAAGAGAACTCCCTCGATGCCCTTCCTCCTCCCCTTCACGCTGGGGAATGCGACCAGGTCTAGCACTGTTTCGGTCCAAAGCACTTCGTCGTATCATTTGTTTTCGTGTACAAACAATTCCAAATATGTTGAGTTCTGCTCCCTCGGTGGTTAAAAAAAACATTAACTAAAATGCAGTATTAATGCATGCGCCATGCTTTCACATTTAATCACGTTTTACAAAACCTGAGTTGGCAACACTCGGGCAGCATCGCCGGCGAACCCCAGTCAGCTACAACTCCTGGGTTTATCTTGAGATACGTCATCGAGAAAAATCTCCAGCAGCCGGGATACAAAATACGCATTTCGCTCCTCTCGCGCTCACTTTTGCGAAATACAGAGTAGTCACGTGACACAGGCAACCTTCGCCGGCAGCACAGGATCGCGAGAAAATCTCATGTCCAAAGTCCGGGTAGCCACATGGTGCAAGTGATGACACACGTGTCACGTGCCATGTGCACGCTCCCTATGAGGATGCACTTTGCCGATTTCGTCGGCTATTACGTTTTCCGCCACATTTACGCACCCAGGGTACGCGGAGACACGGGACTGACATGTCACGACAAGGAATTAGACGGACAGTCCTG